ATTTTCTCTTGTTTATGTTAGCAGGGAAGGAAGATTTTGTATACTAGGGTACAACGGGGCTAAAGGCGCCCCGGGGTAAAAGGCACCTTTGATATTATTTTCCCCTAAACCACTAGATGGCAGAAAAACATGGCGTAGCACTTTCCAAAACATTTGTTCCCCTTCAGGAACTCGAGCTGCGTCAAAAACGCTATGGGAGCGCCTTCAGCGTGACAACGCTCTGAATCACGTGTGTAATCAGTCCAATGGATGGGCGAGACATCACGAGCGGGGTGACGTAGCGACCGGGAAGCTTAAAAGCACGTGCGGTGGATACAGCGGCAGCTTTCTGTCATTCAGCAAGCGCTCTGTGTGTGTGTCAGTACTCTTGTCAGTCATATTTACTGTTGTTTATCTGCCATCGATTCAGTAACAACATGCCAAAAGCCAAAGACAAGCATAAGGGTGAGAGCAGACAGCATTATAGGCTGTGTGTTCCTCCCTGCCCGCGTTATATTACGGGTGGGGATACACACAGTCTGTGTGTTGTCTGCTTGTGGGCGAAGCATGCAGAGTCAGCTCTCGAGGGAGCTGACTGCCCACATTGTGAGTGGCTTTCACTACGCACGCTTCACTCCCAGAAGACTCTCTTCGAAGAAGGAGCCTTCGCCAGCGTTCCTCGCGGTGCCGGCCACGCTTCTGCTGAGGCAGAGCGGCAGTTGCGCTCGTGGGGATTGCAAATGGATCTGGTGGAGGGAATGGAGATGGGCGAGTCCCTTTCTTCTTCCTCACCCACCAGACCCAGTGACTGGGGACTCACCCCCTCAGTCTCCCCAGTATGAGGAGCTACTGGTGGTAGTCACTCGTGCCGTGGCCAAGTTAAACATCGATTGGCCCGCCGAGAAAATGGCTGAGCCGCAGAAGAGTAAATTGGATGAGCGCTTTCTGCGTGTTAAGCTGCCACCTCCGCGCCGGAGCCTGCCTTTTTCCCCCGACCTCCACACCGAGTTGTCGAGGTTGTGGGGAAGACCCTTCTCGGCCTGCCTCTTTATCCCCGCTTCCGATTATTATGGCTATGTGGTGGGGAGATGAGTGCTTTTTGAGTAGTAAGCCGCTACCTCCACGCCGGGGCCTTCCGTTCTTCCCCAATCTCCACACTGAGGTGTCAAGATCGTGGGCTAGACCATTTTCCACCTGTATCTTCAGCCCCGCCTCCAGTCACTATGCCAATGTGGTGGGGCTGAATGATTACGGCTACAGGGCGATGCCTCGGGTTGAACAGACACTTGCGAGCTATCTGTCTCCCGGCACGGCAACGTCCTTGAAGGCTCCGGCGCTGCCCTCCAAGCCGCTGCGGACCACCTCAGTGCTGGTGGGCAAAAGGTACATGGCAGCGGGTCAGGCTGGTGCTTGCTTGCACACTATGGCGGTGTTGCAAGCATAACAAGCTGACCTGCTGAAAGAGCTGGATGAGGGCGAGGAAGTTAAGTCTGAGCATATCACCGAACTCAGACGAACCGCTGATCTGTCTCTCCGTGCCATCAATGAGACTGCCCCCACTATCAGCAGGTCCATGGCAGCATTGGAGGCCACTTTTGCTAGTTTAACGACGGGAAAAACGGTCGGCATGCCCGGCACATGGTCTAAAAGGGTTGTCCCTATTCTCTTAATGAGTGTTTTGGGCATAACGTGCAATAAATTGTAGCCTACACAATAATAATCTTTTACAGTGCAGTCCTTTAATTTTTAATATTTGGCATGTTTGTGTGCTACTGTGCATCCCTGTGTGTGTAATAAGCAGATTGTAAAAAAACTACTGTGCCATTGACTTTAGACCTCAGTTGCCTCAAAATAGCAACCCGCCAGCAATGCGCCTGAACACACCTTGTTTTCAGACCAGCACGCCCCATGGGCGCACAAATGGGCGCAAATGGATTTGCTATTTAAACAACGTGGCGCAGGCCGTGAAAATGACAACTGCATCGGGCTGAAACTAGCAAAAAACACATGCGTCGCGCCTGGTGCCGCATTGCGCCGGGTGTATGATAGGGCCCTATGTGTGTATAATATTATATTATATATTTTGTTGTTGCTGTCACTTTAACATTTAATGCATAGATCCTATATGACCTATTCAATGGCAACCACACTGCCTATTACTGTCACTATCCTATTACGTTCCCTTCATCTCTTTCACCATGCTGCACACACAATACCCAGCTGCAGAGACAGGCATGCATGTTGCAGACCAATTAGAACAAAGGGGATTATCTTAAAATAAACACACATAATGGTCTGTGAGAACCCTTCGTGGATCATAAAGACAAGAGATAAAATAGCTCCTTTAGTGGCAGACCCTTTTACTGTTTTTAGTGGTATGAATGCATCCCGAGACAGAAAAAGATACGTATTTCATAAAATATTTATAGGTGGTCTAGCAGGTGAACAAGAAGCAACATAAGGACCACATGAAATTTTGAATGTCACTCAACAGATTAACACGTAATCAGAAATGTGGTTTAGCAATTGCATTTTGTGCTTTGTAAACATGATGAAAATCAGTTGATCGGAAAAACAGTCAAATTTTTTTATCTGTCTGTTGTTTGTTTTGAAGTTGCACAGATCTGTTGATGAACTGTCACAGCGCAGAACTGGTAAAGCCAGTAGTGCCACAGCCCAACCCACATCAAATGCCTCAAATCTGAGTCATTGTGAAAAAAGCAACTATCAATAAAATTGTATTACATAGCCTATTTATTTATTTTTAGCCAAGCCAAGATTTGAGTTTTAAAAAAACAAAAATAATAAAATAAATAAATAAAATAAAAGCTTTTGTGCCGTTTTATATAAAGAAAAGTCTTTAATTTTAAATCAGCTGTAATTGTAGTTTGTAAGTTAATTCAGTCTTACGGGATTGATTTCCCCTGCAATTCTGTTCAAAAAATTATATAATGAATCATTTTGGAAATACCCCACTAGCAGATAATAAACATAATACCTGGTGAAACATGGAATGGTCAGATTGCAGCGTTCTGCTCAATTTCAGAGGAACAAAGTGATTTTGTGACATTCATATATTTAGTGCTTTGGTGCTCACATATTGAAACTCTGTTATTTACTGTAGTTACGCCTACTTTTCTTGGTGATAAAGGCTTTGCTTCAAAAGGCCTTTAGTTCGACAACAAAAGGGGCCCTTGCTGGCCCCGTCTGAACACGTCACTGAAGCCAGCCTATATATAACATCCATGCCCTCACATAGTGTTGGCAAAAGTAGCCTACAGTCAATACTTTATACAAACATGTTTTAAAGTGTTGAGCATTATAGCTATTCACAGAAATTTCTGTTGAGCATTTAGAGGTGTTTAAGTTCCACAGAGTCCACACAGAGAGGAAGCCATCCTGCTTTATCTTTTACATTTCCTAGAACTCGAGAAAATTGTAGCGCTCCAAAAAAAAAATCGTTCCTTGTACTGCAGGTGCGTAGAGCCAGTAGGATATTTGAAAATGAGCAAATGGAGCACTGAAGATAGCAATGTGCTGAAACGTTTGCTTGCTTGCTCGTGTCCATTTGTTTTTAATTCTCATGCACTTTGCACTTTTGCACAATGCAATTTATAAAAATTAAAAAGATGTTTTTGTAGACTTTTTAGTCTTGAGTGGATCAGTGTGCGGTTAGCCACCCTCTTGCTCATTTTCTTTTACATTTCCTAACATAAATTCCTTCAAAGTGAGACATATTTGGAGAAGCTGTACTGTAGTGAATGTGGACCTGATCCTGTGCAACAGGTTAGGGGCAGGTTCCCATAGTGAGATGTCAGATGAGTCCTCAGAAAAAGAACTAAATGTCTTTCAGAGGTGCCAAAGGCTGTACTTAATTATTTTGCTACACACATACACAGTAAAAAAAAAATAAAAAAAAATAAGGTGAATGCAAACCCCCGTTTTCAAGAGACATTAACTGGTTTTGATGGTCTGTCATCAGATTATTATTATTATTATTTTAACTGTACATTCCAAAACAGTCCACAGCGTGAAATAAAATCTAAAAATAGCACTTTCTATTCTATTTTAATTTTACTTTATCTATTTATCTTTTTTTTTTATTAAAAAAAACACTAGGATGTCTATTTTTTCTATTCTATCTACTTGTTTTTCTTTGTGTGTGTGTGTGTGTGTATAATATATATATACATACCTTGCTACACTGCGTTAGGCTAACCGAGACTTGTCATTTGCACTTATATATTGTTGCTCTTTTGTTAGTTTTGACTGCTTTTATTGTCCTCATTTGTAAGTCGCTTTGGATAAAAGCGTCTGCTAAATGACTAAATGTAAATGTAAAAAGGAAGAAAGTGTGTGCAGCATAGGCTACACTTCACAGCGTGGTGTAACTAATTGTGGGTGCAGCTCAACCTTCAATACACGTTATCATTCTGATTCTCTTCTATTTATTACTCACATTGGTTCTACCATAAATCATTAATAGGACATAAATATTATATTTTATTTACACGCCTACCTTTACTTTACCAAATAAGTGGGACTGGCTGGTACGTGAAGTGAAGTGAAACATGGCACTCTGCTGTATGTAGCCTATGTATACCCGCTGGAAGCTTCTGTTACCAAGCTAAATTCCCTCTGTATATAATATAATTATTTTATATTTAAATGAATTATATTTCGACTCGATTATGTTAGATCCACATATTTAAAGGCGCTGCGATGTTAGCCATGCATGAATGTCTACCAGAGCTTAACTCAGAAACGCTCCACCTGTACCTGTTGTTCACAAAGAAGTCAGACAGCACCACAAAATGGCTAACACTCCATTTAGTGTATTGGAAATGGAGTGTTAGTTTGTGTTGAAGATGTTTTATCCATCATCATAATAACCATTCTGTCTTTGGTAGAGCGTTTATCAGAAGGACTGGTATGATGGGCCCAAATGAATTTTCCAACATATTAAAGCTGTAAAGCTCTGTATTGTATATACCAACAATTAAGGATAGGCTACAATAATGTTCTCATATTGGTATTGAATTGTTTTATTAAATTATAGTTTTTAACTACACAGTCTTAAAACATTAATTGTGATTCGTACATACATATGTCATCAGGGTGCAATATGTTATTTTAGATAAAGTACATTAAGTGTGAATAAAGAAGTGATCAACACATTCTACATTTTTTCCCTTAACATTAAATACATACTACCAAATAAATCTTTCATTCAGAAAACAAGATTCTCATTACTTTACATAAGTTTTTTAAATAAATAAAATCATTCCTTAAATAGTAGTTGTTGTTTTTTTAAATCACATTTGCATCACATTTAGAGAGGTTCTGTATGCCCAGCAATACAGGAAAATTAATATTTTAAGCATCAAAGTTTGTTCTTGAATACCTCTAGAAGATGCTGTTTCGAGTTGTGTACTGTACATTGTATGATCGTCTTCTGTGCCAACGTTTTCTGATTGCTGCACAGCAACCACACAGCAAACACTAAACACATCAACAGACAAAGTGAGAGTTAGCATCATGGAAGGGAATTTTATACAGTTAAAAACACTTTTAATCAGCTGTACATTATAAACATTATATATACGTTATAATTATAGAATATAAAGGCACATTTAAGTCTATTGATAAGACAAAAGAGTAACAATTGCATGTTGTCATTCCAATGCACATATTTGACATTCAGTCATCCTAATACTTACGCAAAGGAGAATCCAGCAAGGTACGAGCCCGATGACAATAGCGCAGGGGACAATGATAGCCACAACCCATGCTGCGTTTGTACTATTGTTTAAGATTGTACTGGTCAGGACTGTGGGGTAATAGGTGGTTGGAGCGGCTGTTGTAGAAGGTCCGAGGAAAGCAGAGACCAAGCCGAAACTGCCGATGTCACTGTCTGTGAAAACATACTGTACGTTGGCCTCAATCACAGAGGAGTTACCCCTGTGGAGAAAATGTACAATGAGAAATGAAGCAAAATAAATAAACTGATCTTTCCTTCCCTCACCCAAAACTACTCAATGATGACAGCAGATCTCTTGAAATCATTTAAAACACTGCTTAGAAAAAAAAAATACTGAGCCAGAACTTACTTGAAATTGATTTGATTGAAATTAAAGTTAGTAGTTGTTGTTTTATTCAGGATCGTGGACACCTGAAAAGCAGAAATACATTTTTATTGATTCATTTGTTTATGGCTAATGTGACCGAAATAAAGCAATTTCTCTATTCTCAATTTCTCAGTATCTGTAACTCACAAATTTATTTATATAGTGCTGGATCACTGTGAAGGTCTCATTCCTGAATTCAACTCTTTCAGACATGGACACATTGCTGATTTCAAATCCAAAGTTCAGAGAGAAGGCGTTATCATCAATTTCTTTAGGGGAAAAAATAAATAAAATAAACAAAACAACAATTAGTTGTGGGGTGGTTATATGTGGATGATAAAATTTCACTCATCCATTCAGGGATTACTGATTTAACCATTTTCCTTCAAAGGAAAAGCTTACTACATAATAGTACACCATTTGCATTCAAATGTTATGTGCACAACAAAAAAGGCAGGAGAGAAAAACTAACTTGTATAGGTGACATTCACAAAGTTCACAAGCTCAGTCAGATCTTTTGTTGTGAGGGATCGTTTGATTCTCATTTTCATTCCAGACAACAGGGTGTTAGCCACATTTACAACGTTACTCTCACTTGGGATAGTACCCCGTGTTTTAAACACAAGGCTGATGTATATGATCACCTTCCCAAGCCTGCAAAAGAAAGTACATTTATTTATTTGGAAGATTTATTCCATGTTACCATCTATTTTCAAAAGATAATACAGAGGAATGCAAAGAGAAAATGAATTATTGCTCTTACACGTTTGGTGGAGATGTGCTTATTGTCAGAGTACTGGGTGGAGATGTGCTTGTTGTCGGAGTACTGGCTGTCGTTAAGTCTGCAAAATAAAGTAATGATTAGTGGAGAATAATCTTTAAATTAGTGCTTTAAATCAAAGTATTCAGTGTTTATGGAGCATATAAAATGTGACATTGCATGTGTGGATGTGGTAATACCTTCTTTAGCTTTGAATATTTCCTTGACAAAGGTGCTGTTTATGCTCAAGTCACTTTCTGAGAAAACATACTGAACACTGGCCAGAATCACTGTGCTATTACCACTGTGTGGAGATTCAAATGTGCAATGAGGAACAGAAGTAGCTGTCTAAAAACCTCATCTCATACTAAAAACGAATCAATGTTAAAAGCAGATTTTGTACAATCATTAAGACATTTCTTCAGATTCAGAACTTACTCGAATGCAATGTGTTGCAGATCAAACTGAGAAGCTGAGGGATCCTTTAGGATGTCGACAAGCTGGAGAGTGGAGAAATAAATACAGAGATTAATGTGTTTATTAATGTTAAAGTTAATGTGATTAGAATAAGGCATATTCATTTTCACAGGAAGTTTCTGAGAGAAACCATTAAAGCAAAGTGTCTCAATCTCACCAATTTATTTATAGTGCTTTTGATTGAAGTATAGGTTTCATTCCTTAGTTCACGTTTCTCAGACATGGATATATTAGTGATTTCAAATTCAAACGTGAGAGCATAGGAGGTTTCATTAAGTTCTTAAAACACAGAAGAAAAATTATTAGTTGTGTGGTTATATGTGACTGATTACATTTTCTTTAAAAGCAAGCTACCACAGGTCTACACAATAAACTTCATTTGCATTCAAATGACATATTCAGAACAAAAAGGAGCTTAAAGAGGAGAGAAAAACTCACTTGTGTAGCCGATATCCACAAGGCTCGTACCCTGGGTTGGTGGTGCGACTACTTTAGTTCTGTAACGTGGGTTGAGCGTAGAGCTGGCCAAGTTTATAATGTAATCCTTACTAGGGATTGGGCCCAGTGTGTGAAACACCAATCGAATATTTATGTAAGCCTTCCCCAACCTACCAAAGATGATGAAATAACAGGAATGTAAAGACAGATTCAGAAAATAACTGGCTTTTACAAAATGACACTGGAATCATGGCTCTTACAATGTTTGTGGAGAAGTTATGCTTGATGTCAGAGTACTGGCTGTTGTTAAGACTGTAAAATAAAGTAATGATTAGTCAAGAAGGATTGCAGTTACAGTATTTGGTGTTGGTGGAGCAACACATTTAAAACAAAATCTTAAGTAATGTTTGATTTTCAGTTTTGACAAACCTGTCAATGAACTAAGCGCCTGTAGGAATCTGACTGGTTTTATGACATCTGCATCTTGGAAGTTGTACTCCATACTGCCCTCAATCTGATTTAATGTACTCCTAGAGAAAAACAACAATATACAGTATCTGTTGCACACAGTATCAGGACATCAATGCATATGCACAGAACAATCACAGAGAATTTTCTTGGAAATGTATTTTTTTATTTTCATATATTTTCATGTGGGAAAACAAAAGCAGATTATGACAGACTGCATCTTACTTAAAGTTGGATGAAATGGGTTGTAAAGCTGGACTGCTAGGTTCATTCAGAAGAGTGTTTAGCTGCAGGTAAAAATTAAAATCATGAATCAAACTGAACTGAATACTGGATCTCTCTGTGAATATTTGCATGGGGTCTACAAATTTAAATGAGTAATTGGTGAATGCCTACCGCTTTATTGATTCTATCCTGTACTTGCAGGTAGATGTTGTTTCTGAGTCCAGAGTCCCTTGGCATGCTGATGTCACTCATATTAAATTTAAAAATGACAGCATAGGAAGATTCCGAAATTTCTGTTTAGAAAGAAATGGTTATTTTTGATTGGGTGAAAATTTGACATTCATTGCTGTTTTGCTCATATCCATTTAAAACGCTTCTAAACTGAAAATGATGACACTTACTCTCATAGGTGACATTCACCACCTGCACTGATTCATTCAGCTGTGACTCTCTGGAATTACGGAGAGTGTTGATAGCGCTGAGGACCAGAGCTTCACTGGGGACTGGAGATGAGGAGTTGAACACCAGCTTGCTTATGACCACTGCTGTACCAGATCTGCAAAGAGGATCACTTTTGATTAATGTGGTTCACTTTTTGTGCTAAAATTATGAATCCATAACAGACTGCATTTAAATGGAATCTCAATACTTGCATTAGGCTTGAAGAAGTCAAAGGGAAAATGGTTATTGTGTCTGGAAACATTGTAGTATGGGTCAGTTCTGCAATGAACGGTAGAAACATACAATAATATTGAGATTTTGAGGAAAAGTTGTTGTAACTGTCAGAGTATTTTTCATTTTGTATAGATGTCATTACTAACATACCAGACTGTGATTGAAGCTCATTTAGGAAGCTGACTGGTTGTATGGCATCTCCATCCTGGAAGGTGTATTCCATCCTGCCATCTATCTGGTTTGAAGAGCTCCTACAGAACAAATAGAAGATATCTGTTAGGGACTTTAATCCACACCTTTAAAAAGAGTATTTATTTATTTATTCATTCAGTCATTCATTTAATTTGATAAATTAATTATTTTTGTTTTGTGTTGTATTGATTTTTTGTAATTTGTACTTTTCAATGGCTTTAATAAGCTAAAATGTGAGGACACTTGAAATAAAGATTGTGAAGTGAGTTTCAATCTTACGTGAATTTGGATGATTCGGGTTGTACAATTGGACTGCTGGGTTCATTCAGAAGTGTGTTCAGCTGAATAAGAAAAATCAAACCATTCATCAACCTCTGGAGAATAATTACACTGGACTCAAACTTTGTTAATGGGATAATAAAGATTTCTTACCGCATTATTGACGACATCTTGCACTTGCACGTAAAGGCTGTTTCTTAGCTCAGGGATCTCTGGCATGCTGATATTACTTATATTAAACTCAAAGATTACAGCATAGGAGGTTTCTGAGATTTCTGTTTGGAAATAAAGGTAATTTTTACTTCCCCAACCCTTGCTTATTATGACGGTGTGGCTTATTCCTACTTCAAAAGCTTTTCAAGTGAAAATGATGAGACTTACTCTCATAGGTGACATTCACCACCTGCACTGATTCACTGAGCTGTGACTCTCTGGAATTACGGAGAGTGTTGATAGCGCTGAGGACCAGAGCTTCACTGGGGACTGGAGATGAGGAGTTGAACACCAGCTTGCTTGTGACCACTGCTGAACCAGGTCTGTAAATAAAACCCCTTTGGTTTAATGTACATCAAATGTTTGCAATAAAATTCCTTTTCCATTTTTGATTGTTAAAATGTGAAAACCAACACTTACATGAGATTTGAAGGGGTCACAGTGAAACCAGTTGCTGTTTCTGGAAGCACTGTTGTAGTGGTTGGCAGATGTAGCTCATTTAGGAAGCTGACTGGTTGTATGGCATCTCCATCCTGGAAGGTGTAGTCCATCCTGCCATCTATCTGGTTTGAAGAGCTCCTACAGAACAAATAGAAGATATCTGTTAGGGACTTTAATCCACACCTTTAAAAAGAGTATTTATTTATTTATTCATTCAGTCATTCATTTAATTTGATAAATTAATTATTTTTGTTTTGTGTTGTATTGATTTTTTGTAATTTGTACTTTTCAATGGCTTTAATAAGCTAAAATAACAAAGCTTCACTGGGGACTGGAGATGAGGAGTTGAACACCAGCTTGCTTGTGACCACTGCTGAACCAGGTCTGTAAATAAAAACCCCTTTGGTTTAATGTATATCAAATGTTTGCAATAAAATTCCTTTTCAATTTTTGATTGTTCTAAAAATATGAAAAGCAACACTTACATGAGATTTGAAGGGGTCACAGTGAAACCTGTTGTTGTTTCTGGAAGCACTGTTGTAGTGGTTGGCAGACGTAGCTCATTTAGGAAGCTGACTGGTTGTATGGCATCTCCATCCTGGAAGGTGTAGTCCATCCTGCCATCAATCTGATTTGAAGAGCTCCTACAGGAAAAGCAGAAGAGATACTGAATTTGCAACGTGCTTAAATTCCTATGCATAATACAGCTTTATTGAGACGTTTAGATTTCTTTCTTTCATTCTTTTAAATATTGGCTTGTTTTAATGTCCTGAAATATCATGAAGCACTAAATAAACATTGTGAATGAAAAAATATTATTCATATAAAAAAATCAGATTGCATCTTACGTAAAATTGGAAGACTTGGGTTCAAAAACGATCTTGCCAGGTTCATTCAGAAGAGTGTTCAGCTGCAGGACAAAAATCAAACCATTCATCAACCTCTGGGGAAGAATGGCATTGGACCTAAAGCTATTTACACTGTTCATTTTTAATGTTTACCGCATTATTGATGATATCCTGCACTTGCTGTTTGGTGTCGCCTCTGTGCTCAGGGTCCTCTGGCATGCTGATGTTAACCAGGTTAAATGTAATGACCACAGCATAGGAGGTTTCTGAGATTTCTGTGTGGAAACATGTTAATTTTTATTTGCCAACATATTGTCATTCATATCAGTTTTATTCATTTCCACTTCAACACATTTTAAACCTTAAATCATGAGACTTACTCTCA